TTATTATTTCACTATTTCACTTTCATTAATCAGGTTAATGATTGAACAAAAAAAAATCATAATTTAAATTTTTTATGTATCTCGTAGCTAGTGCCCTTTTAATTGATAACATGCATAATGTAATAAAACTTTAATGAGTTTAAAAGTGTGTTTGAAACATAGGTAGTAGCTATAGCATTTTTCAATCAATTATGAATATACCTTGCTTTGAAAAAGTTGGGATATACTGTTTTTTTATACCCCCGCTCTATAAAAAGTGGGGCATACTGTTTTACCTCTGTCTGTCCATCCGTCCGTCCATCCGTCCATCTGTGCCATGAATATTTTTCGTCACATTTTTCTCAGGAACTACAATACAAGGATTTCTGAAATTTGGTTTCAGAGTTTATATAAGTCAGCTATACTGTGTGATGTGTTTTCAAATTGATCACTCAACACTGTCCTAGGTCATGGCCCAGTAACTGAATTTATTAGCAGTCTTCAATGTTGATTTTTCTGCTAAAGATAGTTTGAAAGGAACTAATTGTGATAAATCAATGATATATTCTATAAACTTGTATACCTATCCATGCATAGTAGTTTGACAACTATATTTAGGCCCTGTCCCCTGGGTCATTGTCCAGTGAGTGTCTTTCAATTAATAAGCAATTTTTAAAATTAAGTTTTTCTGCTTATGTAAGTTTGATAGGAATTAATTGTGGTAGATCTATATCAACATGATCAATGGTATTTTATATAAAGTTACATTACTATCAGTACATATCAGTTAAACAACCATTTGAAGGCCCTGTCCCTTAGGTCATGGTTCAACATCTTTTAATTATAATCAATTTTTAATATTAAGTTTTCTGCTTAAGTTAGCTTAAAAGTAATTACTTGTGATAGACGATTACATTTTCCAGTTGCATTACTATCAGCATCATCAGTATCAGTACATTTCAGTTTGTTGACTATTTTGAGGTCCTGTCCCTAGTTCATGGTCCATTACTATCAGTTTCAGTACATCTCAGATTGTTGACTCTTTTGAGTTCCTGTCCCTAGTTCATGGTCCATTACTATCAGTATCAGTACATCTCAGTTTGTTGACTATTTTGAGATCCTGTCCCTAGTATATTGTCGATTACTATCAGTATCGGTTCATCTCAGTTTGATGACAATTTTGAGTTCCTATCCCTAGTTCATGGTCCATTACTATCAGTATCAGTACATCTCAGTTTGGTGACAATTTTGAGTTCCTATCCCCATTTAATGGTCCATTATTTACTATTGATTACTACCAGTATCGGTACATCTCAGTTTGTTGACTATTTTGAGTTCCTATCCCTAGTTCATGGTCCATTTACTATCAGTATCAGTACATCTCAGTTTGTTGACTATTTTGAGGTCCTGTCCCTAGTCCATGGTCCATTACTATCAGTATCAGTACATCTCAGTTTGTTGACTATTTTGAGTTCCTATCCCTAGTTCATGGTCCATTACTCTCAGTATCAATACATCTCAGTTTGTTGACTATTTTGAGTTCCTATCCCTAGTTCATGGTCCATTGCTATCAGTATCAGTACATCTTAGTTGGTTGACTATTTTGAGGTCATGTCCCTAGTTCATGGTCCATTACTATCAGTATCAGTACATCTCAGATTGTTGACTCTTTTGAGGTCCTGTCCCTAGTTCATGGTCCATTACTATCAGTATCAGTACATCTTAGTTGGTTGACTATTTTGAGGTCCTGTCCCTAGTTCATGGTCCATTACTATCAGTATCAGTACATCTCAGATTGTTGACTCTTTTGAGGTCCTGTCCCTAGTTCATGGTCCATTACTATCAGTATCAGTACATCTTAGTTGGTTGACTATTTTGAGGTCCTGTCCCTAGTTCATGGTCCATTACTATCATTATCGATACAACTCAGTTTGATGACTCTTATGAGGTCCTGTCCCTAGTTCATGGTCCATTACTATCAGTATCAGTACATCTCAGATTGTTGACTCTTTTGAGGTCCTGTCCCTAGTTCATGGTCCATTACTATCAGTATCAGTACATCTCAGATTGTTGACCTTTTTAAAGGATTGCCATAGTTCATGGTCCATAACTATCAGTATCGGTACATCTCAGTTTGTTCACTATTTTGAGGCCCTGTCCCTAGTTCATGGTCCATTACTATCAGTATCGGTACATTCCAGTTTATTGACCATTTTGAGGTCCTGTCCGTAGTTCATGGTCCATTACTACCAGTATCGGTACATCTCAGTTTGATGACTCTTTTGAGGTCCTGTTCCTAGTTCATGGTCTATTACTATCGGTATCAGTACATCTCAGTTTGTTGACTATTTTGATATCCTGTCCCTTCCCTTGGTCCATTACTATCAGAATCGGTACATCTCAGTTTGTTGACTCTTTTGGGGACCTCTCCCTATATCATGGTCCATTACTATCAGTATCGGTACATCTCAGTTTGTTCACTATTTTGAGGTCCTGTCCCTATTTCATGGTCCATTATTTACCATTGATTACTACCAGTATCGGTACATCTCAGTTTGTTAACTATTTTGAGGCCCTCTCCCTATATCATGGATCATTACTTTCAGTATAGGTACATCTCAGTTTGTTGACTCTTTTGAGGTCCTGTCCCTAGTTCATGGTCCATTGCTATCATTATCGGTACATCTCAGTTTGATGACTCTTTTGAGGTCCTGTTCCTAGTTCATGGTCTATTACTATCGGTATCAGTACATCTCAGTTTGTTGACTATTTTGATATCCTGTCCCTTCCCTTGGTCCATTACTATCAGAATCGGTACATCTCAGTTTGTTGACTCTTTTGGGGACCTCTCCGTATATCATGGTCCATTACTATCAGTATCGGTACATCTCAGTTTGTTGACTCTTTTGAGGTCCTGTCCCTAGTTCATGGTCCATTGCTATCATTATCGGTACATCTCAGTTTGATGACTCTTTTGAGGTCCTGTTCCTAGTTCATGGTCTATTACTATCGGTATCAGTACATCTCAGTTTGTTGACTATTTTGATATCCTGTCCCTTCCCTTGGTCCATTACTATCAGAATCGGTACATCTCAGTTTGTTGACTCTTTTGGGGACCTCTCCCTATATCATGGTCCATTACTATCAGTATCGGTACATCTCAGTTTGTTGACTCTTTTGAGGTCCTGTCCCTAGTTCATGGTCCATTGCTATCATTATCGGTACATCTCAGTTTGATGACTCTTTTGAGATCCTTTCCCTAGTTCATGGTCCATTACTATCAGTATCGGTACATCTTAGTTTGATGACTCTTTTGAGGTCTTTTCCCTAGTTCATGGTCCATTACTATCAGTATCGGTACATTCCAGTTTATTGACAATTTTGAGGTCCTGTCCGTAGTTCATGGTCCATTACTACCAGTATCGGTACATCTCAGTTTGATGACTCTTTTGAGGTCCTGTCCCTAGTCCATGGTTAATTACTATCAGTATCGTTACAACTCAGTTTGTTGACCCTTTTGAGGTCCTGTCCGTAGTTAATGGTCCATTACTATCAGTATCAGTACATCTTAATTGGTTGACTATTTTGAGGTCCTGTCCCTAGTTCATGGTCCATTACTATCAGTATCAGTACATCTCAGATTGTTGACTCTTTTGAGTTCCAGTCCCTAGTTCATGGTCCATTACTATCAGTATCAGTACATCTAAGTTTATTGACTATTTTGAGGTCCTGTCCCTAGTCCATTGTATATAACTATCGGTATCAGTACATCTCAGTTTGTTGACTCTTTTAAGGTCATGTCCCTAGTTCATGGTCCATTACTATCAGAATCAGTACATCTCAGTTTGTTGACTTTTTTGAGTTCTTATCCCTAGTTCATGGTCCATTACTATCAGTATCAGTACATCTCAGATTGTTGACTATATTGAGTTCCTGTCCCTTTCCATGGTCCATTACTATCAGAATCAGTACATCTCAGTTTGTTGACTATTTTGAGGTCCTGTCCCTTCCCATGGTCCATTACTATCAGTATCGGTACATCTCAGTTTGTTGACTATTTTGAGGAACTCTCCCTATATGATGGTCCATTACTACCAGTATCGGTACATCTCAGTTTGATGACTCTTTTGAGTTCTTTTCCCTAGTTCATGGTCCATTACTATCAGTATCGGTACATCCCAATTTATTGACCATTTTGAGGACCTGTCCCTAGTTCATGGTCCATTACTATCAGTATCGGTACATCCCAATTTATTGACCATTTTGAGGACCTGTCCCTAGTTCATGGTTAATTACTATCAGTATCGTAACAACTCAGTTTGTTGACCCTTTTGAGGTCCTGTCCGTAGTTAATGGTCCATTACTATCAGTATCGGTACATCTCAGTTTGTTGACCCTTTTAAGGTTATGTCCCTAGTTCATGGTCCATTGCTATCAGTATCAGTACATCTCAGTTTGTTGATTATTTTTGAGATCCTGTCCTTAGTTCATGGTCCATTACTATCAGTATCGGTACATCTCAGTTTGTTGACTCTTTTGAGGTCCTGTCCTGAGTTCATGGTCCATTACTATCAGTATCAGAATGATCAGTACACCTCAGTTTGATAACTATTTTAAGGTCCTATCCCTATAGCTATGTCACGGTCCAGCAAATCCATGTTAATTTGCAGTTTTGCTGTTCATCAGAATCGTCATTTCTGATTTTTTTCTTCAGACAGGCGAGACACATCTTTGCGTAAACGGTTTATGTATTATGTATGTATGTAGATACTGTTGACATGCATTGAGCAACATTTTTGTCCTGATGAATAAAAAAGATATGAGTTATACATCAATGAGGCAGTATACGCACAGAACGTCTTGTACATGTTGTAGGCATATATTTTATACTAGTATGGAATTAGAATTACCTAAAACAGATATATAAATGCAGAGAATGTCAAACTAGATATTTTATATGTCATGTGTAGGAAAGTATCAAAAGGTATATAATATGTCATTATTTTTTTTGTTCCTTATAGAGTCGTTGAAGAACTCACATATGGAGATAAACATTATCAATAAGATGTATGACGGAGGAGAGGATTTAGTCACAATCAATGGTACTTTACAGAGACAACTTATAAACACGCAGCTTGGTAAAACACTTCATAAATGTGATGTTTGTGCTAGAGAATTTTGTCAAATTAGTCACTTAAAGAGACACGTGAGAACACATACAAGTGAAAAACGGCATAAATGTGATGTTTGTGCTAGAGCATTTATTCAAGGTGTAGACTTAAAGAGACATGTAATAACACATACTGGTGAAAAACCTCATAAATGTGACGTTTGTGCCAGTAAATTTTCTAGAAGTGATGACCTAAAAAGACACATGAGAAGACATACTGGTGAAACACCTCATAAATGTGACGTTTGTGCCAGTAAATTTTCTAGAAGTGATGACCTAAAAAGACACATGAGAAGACATACTGGTGAAACACCTTATAAATGTGATGTTTGTGCTAGTGAATTTTCTCGAAGTGATGAGCTAAAGGTACACATGATTACACATACTGGAGATAAACCTTATGACTGTGAGTTATGTGGTAAAGGGTTTAGTCAGCATGGTAATTTACAGAGTCACATGAGAACACATACAGGTGATAAACCCTATGGCTGTGATGTATGTGGTAAACGGTTTATTCAGATTGGTAATTTAAAGAGTCACATGAGAACACATACAGGTGATAAACCTTATGACTGTGATGTATGTGGTAAAGGATTTAGTCAGCTTGGTAATTTACAGATTCACATGAGAATACATACAGGTTATAAACCTTATGAATGTTATGAATGTGGTAAGGGGTTTAGTCAGCATTGTGGTTTACAAATTCACATGAGAACACATACAGGTGATAAACCTCATGACTGTGATGTATGTGGTAAAGGGTTTAGTCACATTGGTAGTTTACAGAGACACATGATAACACATACAGGTGATAAACCTCATGAGTGTGATGTATGTAGTAAAGAGTTTAGTCACATTGGTAGTTTACAGAGACACATGATAACACATACAAGTGATTAACTCCGTGAATGTTATGTTTGTTGTAGAATATTTGTTGGAAGTAATGACTTAAAGATACTGGTAGAAAACCTTATGACTGTTGTAAAGGGTTTAGTAAGCGTGATAGTTTACAGTGACACGTGTGATAAACTCCGTAAATGTTATATATGTGGTGAAATATTTGTTGGAAGTTGTGACTTAAAGAGACATGAGAACATATACTGGTAGAAAACCTTATGACTGTTGTAAAGGGTTTAGTAAGCGTGATAGTTTACAGTGACACGTGTGATAAACTCCGTAAATGTTATATATGTGGTGAAATATTTGTTGGAAGTTGTGACTTAAAGAGACATGAGAACATATACTGGTAGAAAACCTTATGACTGTTGTAAAGGGTTTAGTAAGCGTGATAGTTAACAGTGACACGTGTGATAAACTCCGTAAATGTTATATATGTGGTAAAATATTTGTTGGAAGTTGTGACTTAAAGAGACATGAGAACTTATACTGGTAGAAAACCTTAAAAATGTGATGTATGGGGTATAGGGTTGTGTGAGAGTTGTAATTTAGATAGACACACGAGAATATATACAGTCATAGATGCAATCAATTTTCTTTTTGTGCCAAATAAATATTTGAAGAAGTGACTTAGTTATATATAGAGGACACATATTTATGACGAACAGCATAGATCATGCACATGTGATGTAAGGTGGTTTAGACTTGTTTGTAGAAGAAACGTCTTAAAGAGACACATGAGACATTGAGAACACATACTGGAAATTAGTATGTATATTGGAACTCTGCGGTCGTATCCAGCTGTGCTCGGCGAAGAAGAAATGCTTTAAAAAGACACATTAAAACACATACTGGAAATAACTAAATAAAAACTTATAAATGTATTGTATTAAGTAGTGGTTATAATGTAAACTTACTAACAGACAAATGAGAACATATAGTATTACAGTGTTCTGGATTGGTAGGGGGATGGTCCTTCATTTCTGTATTGGTAGGGGGATGGTCCTTCATTTCTGTATTGGTAGGGGGGTGGTCCTTCATTTCTGTATTGGTAGGGGGATGGTCCTTCATTTCTGGATTGGTAGGGGATGGTCCTTCATTTCTGTATTGGTAGGGGGATGGTCCTTCATTTCTGTATTGGTAGGGGGGTGGTCCTTCATTTCTGTATTGGTAGGGGGATGGTCCTTCCTTTCTGTATTGGTAGGGGATGGTCCTTCATTTCTGGATTGGTAGGGGGATGGTCCTTCATTTCTGGATTGGTAGGGGGATGGTCCTTCATTTCTGTATTGGTAGGGGGATGGTCCTTCATTTCTGGATTGGTAGGGGGATGGTCCTTCATTTCTGGATTGGTAGGGGGATGGTCCTTCATTTCTGTATTCTTTAATAAAGGGCCATTTTTCTCTTTTCTGAATTGTGTTTGTCCACCATTCTGTTTTCTTAATATTTTAGCGCCTCATTATTCTCTATTCTTTATTGTCATGCCCCATCGTGGCGGAGGGGAATTAAGTTTTACCCTTCATGCCCCCACCCTAGCGGAGGGGGCATTAAGTTTTACCCATGTCCGTCTGTACGTCAGTACATGTATACGTCCCTCCATACGTCCCAAAGTTGGTTTCCATTCTCTAGCTTTTAAAAATATGTTTGCTTCAACCAAATGTTATGAAACTTATTCAAAATGCTGATTACCATTAAACACAGATCAAGTTTGAATTTTGGTGGCGTCATTTCATTTGTTCAAGGGTTCTGCCCCTTTAAAAATAGATGGAAAAATTGCTGATTTTTTTGTTTCTGTTCTCTAACATAAGTTTGCCTCAACCAAATGATATGAAACTTATACAAACTACTTGTTTCAACAAAACACAGAGGTCAAGTTTGAATTTTGATGCCATCATGGTGTCACTTTTACTATTCAAGAATTTTGCCCCTTTATCAAGTAAAAAATGATGAATTTTTCTTTCTTTACGACCGCAAACATTTTTTTGGGTTCCTCAAAATGCTAGTATGATGTCTGCGTCGTCTGCTTTGTCCGAAAACACATTTGGTTTCAGGACAATAACTTTAGTTTAAGTGAATGGATCTCTATTAAATTTTACAAGACGGTTCAATACCACAAAAGAAAGGTTGGGATTGATTTTGGGGGTTATGGTACCAAGAGTTTAGGAATTCGGGGCCAAAAACGAGAATTTTTGTAGTTTCCTGACAATTACTTGTGTGAAAGTGTATAGATCTCTCTGAAATTGCACCACTAGGTCCCATATCGCAAAGGGAAGACTTGCCAAGTTGGATTGAGTTCTGGGGTCCCTTGAAGTTAAATGGTCGTTCCCTTAACGTATCAGAACGATCGGTAGAATGTCTTTTAAAGAGACAATTTAAGGCACATACTGGAGACAATTAAAACCTATTAAATGTGCTGTATGGAGTAGAGGGTTTGATAATAATGGAAACTTACAGACACACGAGAACATTATAATATAATAAATCTCATAAGTGTGAGTTATTAATCAAGGGCTAAAAGGTATTTGAAATTGACCCTAATAAGTTAACTCACACAAGAGACATTCTCTGCTCATACCGACGCATAAGAACACATACTGAAGATACACTTTATAATGTGATGTATGAAAACGTCAGTGTGTTTTCTATTTTGTCAAATCGTACCCATCAGAAACACTCAGTTAACTTTAACCTTTATATGTGATATTTGGTATTTGGTTTAGTCAGATTGACAGTTTACAGAGACATCTAACTAGATATGAGGGTCGTAAAGGGGGTCTTTCATTTCTTTATTTTTCAATGTTTATGCCATTTATATCAATAAGTTTAAATTCTAGCCTCATTAGGAAGGGAATTCCATACTTGTGCTTTCTCAAATCTAAAAGATCGTTTATACCTTATCTTGAAGTTCTTGGTCTACGGGCACCTCAGTGGAGTGTTCACATACATGAAATTATCACGATGATTTGGTTTTTATAACAACTAGATATTTGCATAAGCATTTCTTATTAATTATTTAATAGGTCTCCAATGCAAATGAGTGCATTCTGTGAGTTTTTGTGATGGAAGGTTCGAAATCTACAGGATTGTTTCGTATACGAGTATGACGAGTTCTGCATTAACCCGAATAATTCAGTCCCTCTCCGTGATCGACTCTCCCATTCGCGTTAATGTAGCCATCGTAGAGCGCACGAGGATAAAAGCTTATGTGAAGGGTTACTGCCAGTCACCAAACGTCAAAACCGTCGCACTACGAAAAGTGTATACGCAAGTTAATGTAATCCCAACCAAAAAGATAGATCTTAATATCTAAAGGAAACATAATTGAGCATGTATGTGCGGTAAAATATTTTGCAATAAATGCATTGCATTGAAGTGCAAGGTTTCTTGGTTATCAATAGAATAGCCTGTCATTTACAAGAAATATAAATTCCGGCAAAATTTGAGATTAAAATCGACGATGTTATTATATGCAAAGCGATGCTTTACATCATAAATTCTTACAGTCTCTATAATATGCGTTTTTTGCCGTTTAATTTTAACTTAAGGTTTAAGATATTCCGTTTTTATCTTTTGATTATCCTCTTTGTATTACGCTTAAAATTACTGTTTATTGGAAAGATTTAAAATACCATTTACAGTCATAGCAGGCAAAATGATAGGTGACTGCAGGTCACATTAATTTTACATACCTCCAACTTTTAAAATGTTGTAGATCTGTTCACGTAGGCTATCATGGATTTGCAATTAAAGGAGGAAATTGAAAGGCAAGACATGAAGCATTGTTTTCGAAAGTATCTTATGAATGAAACATGTCTTACGATGGTTTAAGGACATGTCATAAGATACATGTATGTATTAGAAAGGGTCTCAATTCATGATATTCATAACTTTTATCGTTCACTTAGGACACATCTCGACATGACTTGTGGTGGTCTTATGAATGTTACGACATCACACATTTTTTGTATTTGCTCATGCAACATGCAGATCCAGGATTTTGAAAAAGGGGGCCCAAATTAGGTATTGTTTGGAGTGGTATATGCTAAAAGTCTATACATAAAGCATATATGTAGCTCCATAGGGGGCGAGGCCCTGTCCTCTCCTTCAAAATTTGTTTCTGCATGCAGCCTTTCTTGCTCTCTTTTTGGTACTGTTTGTTCTGTCGTTATTTCTGCTAAATAGTAAAGATTTACTTTTTCTCCACTTCGTCATTTAAAATTTGAATCTCCTGCAACGTAAAATTTAGAATTCTTTCTTTTTAATGATTCCCTTTAATAAATATGCAAAATATTTCTTTCTTTAGATAGTAGTTCATCAAAGTATTTGCACGGATATTTCTATTAGCGGGTACTCTATTTGCCATATATTAAAAGTATTCCCAATTAGATAACAATTCATAGTACGTCACAAATAGGTCGAAAAAAAAGTTTCCCTTGAATTTTGCAGTTGCAGGTATTTAATCCCAATTGTCATTGCAGTAAAACATTTCTGGGTCATAAACCTTATCTTGGGTATTTCAAAGCACCATTATTTGGGGGGGGGGGGGGGGGGGGCGGGGGGTTTATAGAATATTTCGGAAACTTGAGGTTACATGGTTGCTAAAGTTGGTACATATGTTAAATGAGGGAGAATATTTGATTGGTTAACTTCCAGTGATGGTTATTTTCTTATATGCAATGAAATGTTATGTGAATTTTTTTCGTTAGTACTGAACATAATAAAACTTTACTCATGCCAAGTAATTCTTTATTTGAAACAAAGATAAATTTTGCACATATTTTTTAAAAGTGCAAGTTTAAGAAAGACTAAAAGGGGATAATCAATGGTGGTGTTACACCTATAATAATACATGGACGCGAAGTTATAACTAAATCTAAACAAATGATCAACTCACATTTTAACTCCTCTTCATATATATTTTCATGTTCATCGTGTTCATTATAATGAAAAAAATATGAAATATTCGTATACAATAAGAATAGTTACTGTAAAAGAGGGGCAAAAGATACCAGAGGAACAGTCAAACTCATAGATCGAAAATGAACTGACAACGCCATCGCTAAAAATGAAAAAGACAAACAGACAAATAATAGTACACATGACACAACATAGAAAACTAAAGACTAAGCAACACGAACCCCACCAAAAACTGGGGGTGATCTCAAGTGCTCCGGAAGGGTAAGCAGATCCTGCTCCACATGTGGCACCCGTCGTGTTGCTTATGTTATTACAAATCCGGTAAATAGTCTAATTCGGTAGGTCACATTCGTGAAAATGGAAGAGTATTGTAATTACGACATAAGGAACATATCCGATATCATCTGTGAAACGGTTATTCCATAACGATCAACCAACTCGTGATGGCGTCCGTAAAATTTACGAAGGGATGATTTCAACTTCCCCATTTGGAACTCTTGATTTAATAGCTTCCTTGTGAGCAGCAACCCTCTATCAAGGAAATCATGATAGGAAATACAAGCCCGGGAATATCGTATCAATTGGGAGATATATACTCCGTATGCAGGCGCTGCTGGAATGTTGCTACATAAAAATGGAAAGTTTACAATTTGGAAGCTGAAATCATCTCTTTTGTCGTAAAGTTTTGTTTTCAACCGACCCTCATTGTCAA